TCTTTACCACTAAGTTAGTTTAGTTTAGTTTCATACTTTAATGCTGTGCTTAAAAGAAAGAAAGCAGAAATACGCATAAAGGCCCGCTAAAAGTCCCGTTTGAAAGCCAGAAAACATTCTGTATCTTAAAATCTTTTGTGTTCCTATTAATTCCGGGTATTATTTACACAGAATGTTTATATCTGTTTTTAGAAATTTATTCCACTTTCCATCAAATTTACCGTTCGAGTTAATAAATGGCTGGTTGTCGACGTACAGTTTACATTTTCTCGGACAAAACTGTCAATTGCATGCTTCGGAGAAGCCCACTGAACGCGATCAACACGATTTTTAAGCCTTAAAAGGCTCGCTTTTCATATAAGAATGCAGAATAAAAGAAAAAACAATAATTATTACTTCAAAAAGTTGACAAACACTAAAGCAAAGAAAGCTACTAAATGTAAAATAATTGCAATTTTCCATAAAAACAAAAAAATTTATTTTTACACGAAATATTTTAAATATAAAAACTTTTCTTTAAATTTTTCTATAACGCCTGTTATTGTTACTTAATAAGAAAGCAAAATTAGAAAGAATTTTAATCGCACAATAATGGGTTAAATAAAGTAAATATTTTCGTACATTGAAAAAAAAAAAAGCACAAACAATAACAACAAGAACTGCCGCAAATTTTTGAATACGCTCCGATATGACGCAAAAAGCGCTCTTCTATATATATATATATGTAAGCAGAAGGTAAACACACCATGGATGAGAATATGCACAGAAAGAGAGAGAGAAAGAGAGGGAGAGACTGAATGAGAGAAGCACTTTAATCGAGAAAATATGCCAAAACAAAACAGAACCAAAAAAAAAGAAATATACAGTTGCTTACATATTTATATGAAAAAAAAAAAAAAAACGAGTAACAAATTGGAAAATTTGTATCACAGTAATAAGATATTAAAGAAAACTTACCGTTTTAAAAATTGATGATGAAATTGATACAACCACTAACACAATATATTTAATTCTGTTCAATTTTTCGTATATTTTTCTATGCTCATTCGGCGCGCGTCGTTTAAGGCTTTCTAGATTAATATGCAAAATTTATTTAATAAAAAAAAGTTTTATATTATTGTTTAAAACACATTCTTGAGTCTAATACTATGATATTTTCTATTATTATTTATTCGGCTTTTTACTTATAAGACATTCGCGCTTTATATAAAACTCACTACCGTTCACAACTGAAAACACTCATACACATGCGACCTCCCAAAAAAAATTTTTTTTTTACCAATAGCTAACTAACAATATACGTACACTCTTATACAAAACATTTACTATATATAATAAAATCGTTTGATTTGGTTCGCTCGCATATACGTATTTCACGAAAGACATGAAAATTTTTGCTTTTTCTTCTTTGCACTGTTTTTTGCATTAAAACTAAATTTTTAATTTACGCTTTTGCAACGATTTTTAAAGACTTCTATAGAAATTTGATATATTATGTACTGTTAAACAATTAAATTTTATGTATTTCGCACAATTATCAATAAATTTACATTTTATTTTAGGAAATTTTTAGATTTTTTCACGAATAACTTCTTTTTGCTATGGCACATAGGCTACTGCATAATGCTGCCATATGTGAAATATTTGCAAGTAATACCTTTTTTCAGCGTAAGCCCTAAAAAAATGTAATGTCGTAATAAAAAAGTGGGCATTTTTGGAACGAGTTCTTAAAATATTTTTTTTCCTTATTCGTCGAATTAATAATTTATTTAGTAATTAATAAGGATAATGATGAGTTATGCTGAAATCACTTCGATTTTTTATTCTTATTATTTAAAAAATCAACAAAAGCATTGTGCGAAAAAGTGGAACATTTTGATCTATTATCTCTTTGTTCAGTTTTTAAATCCTTGCATTAAATAAAGATGGCGAGTAACGACTTAATTAATATCATGTGCGGTAGAGTTTTCAATCAAAGCGATAGTTTTAGATAATTATAATCCGCCTGGGTGGCCGAGTAGGCAAGAGTCTCGACTAGCAACTCAGTGGTCGTGGGTTCGAATCTCAAGTGCGGTAGAGTTTTTAATAAAGGCCGATAGCCTTAGATGCTAGCGCTTTTAAGAGTTTAGTCTTAGAATTTATTTCTCTGGCGAAATTAATAATAATAATAATAATAATAGATAATTATAGTCGTTATCGAGCTGATAAAAAATATCCACTAATTAAAGCAACCGTACCTTGAGATTGTTAACGATATAATTTGGCCATTCAACTTTCCATATCATACGGTTTTCTCGATCTTCTCTTTGAGTCTGACAATATTGGTCCCTCCTCTTCTTCGGTTTCTAAGTTGGCAGGATTAATAGCGCTTCCGTGAGTTGGCACTTTTGCTGAGACGAAATTACGAACATCTAAAATAATATTGTCGGTACCGAAACGGCAATAATTCGTACTATTTGTTGACCATCTTTAGGATCTTGGATCATTTCCTTTATTTTATCATATTTTGCCGGCTGAGCCCTACAATGTAATGATGATCAATAAAAACAAAATTTCTTTCTTAGCAAGTGCGGCTTACACCAAACATCCCGGCTATTGTATACATGATTACGATCAAATTATCGTATCAAGAACAAGAACAAGCCACCTACACCAAGAAAATGAACAAGAAGAATAATTTTTTGAAATTATTGCCAATAATTTTCTACCTCAGCAAAATACATCAGTATCAATGAAAAACAAATGCAATTTCTTTTAAGTCAACTAAAACTTGTGTTGAAGTTTTTATGACTTAATATAATGATCGGAAAGATTTCATCAACAGTTTCATAAGCAGTAAAGCAAAGCTTATCAAAGCTGAAGTTGTAGTGAAACTACAAAAGCTGTTGTGGCATTTGTGGATATAATAAATATAACAATATTAAGACATTGTGGATGGCATTTTGTGGATATAACAAGTATTGTAGATGGCATTTGTGGATATAGCAAGTATTGTGGATGACATTTTGATCACAATTTATGCAGAATTTTTATTTGTTTGTTTACATACAAGGAGTCAATCTCGCGAAGTTTACTAAAAAGTTAAGCCACTTGTCATATATCATATATGTGTTCGTGGTTTTTAAAATATTCAAATTAAATGTCAATGAACGATAAACGCTCGTGGCTTCTTTGTATATTTGGCTGAAATCATTTAAAATATTTTTGCTGTATACTAAAGACTGCATTCTGAAGATGGCAATTCTTACCGTTAAGAACAGCTGATTCTGTAAATAAATATTCTATTTGTTTAATTTCCTAGAAAAAATAAGAAGGGAACGATTTTTAACTCATTTTTAAATGCAACGATAGTAAATAACATAGTATATAAAACATAGTTAAGTAATTGATCATATGCTAGCAAAAAATATATTATCACTTTATATTGTTTTGGAGAACAACCACTCACGCACTACACTACAGATTAAAATTTTTAAATTTTTAAATTAATTTAAAAACTTTTTTCGCATAATATTTATTTAGAAAGTTAACCTACTCAATGCAGTCCAATGAAAACGCCATATGAGCTCCACAAAAACGACACTAAAACGAGAACTTTAAGACTTTAATCTTACAATTTACTTCTCTGGCTAAGTGAATAATAACAATAATAAAAAACTGCTATGATATATATAAGATGAATAATTTAAATATATAGATCTATAAAATATCAAAAGCATAAAAAAACAGGAAACGAGAACCTTCTAAAATTTAATTTTTCACTGTGGAAGAGGAGAGATTTTGGACACAAACCAAATATTGCTTCTGGCAACATGTAAATTCCCGCTTGCTTACGATACAAGTGCAAATAGGAAAAAACTACGCTATCATTTATGATACTGAATTAGAATAAGAGGAATTAAGTAAACATATGTTCGTGCTTTAATGAACTGATTGCTCAAGTCCTAGATCTCATAAATTTTCAGAACGAATCTTTAGTAATTTTGATGATTAACCATGGTTTAACATGCGCTTTTGCAAAGAAAATCGATCTGCTAGTTGAAGATTCCACTTGGAACGTCTCCAAATAAGTATTAGCATAGATTGACTGGGTTACGCAGTGCTTTTCTTGGATGAATCTTAGCTGTTTTTATTTAGCATAAGAATCCAACAAAATCTAAACTTGACGCTGATGTTTTTCTCATCGTTGCAAAAATTTCTCGGAGGTTTCCAAAATTGGAATTGAAAATGAATTTTCCAACCTACATATATACAAATTTCTTTAATTTTCATCTTTTTATTAATAAAAAGTTGTATTATTATATTGTTATCGTTTAAACTTTCGAACATGCAGAGTTGTTTTTTCATGCCTTTTTTTCTTGTATTTTGACTTGCTTAGGTTATATCGTAATTCTGTAAAGGAAGACCAATCTCGATTGTTTTTATTAATATGCGAAAACAAAAAATAGTTATTGAACGAATACGAAAAGAAGAAATCACAAGAAAATTTTAATTGTGTAGTGTTCATAAAAATCTTTATTATTAATTATATTTAATATAAAATTGATTAAGTAGAAAAAAAGGAAAAAAAAGAGATAAAGGAATAACAAAATATTAATTAATAATGCCTTTGTAAATATTTATATACAAACATATTCGAAAGGTATTCCCTGCTCTGCAAAGAAAAAGAACGACGGTAATGAAAAAACAACGCAATTAGACAAAGAAATTGAAATTTCGTAGTCTTCGTCGTTAAACGGGCAAACAAGAAAAGCTAGATTAATATGAAAATAAGTGAAAAAACCAGCAGCTACTTTTTATTATAATAGGTTTTATTTTTTTGTTTGTTTTTTTTTTTTTTTTAACTAAATCACAACGAGTATTGAAAAAAGAAAAAATTATATTAATTTTTTTTAAATACGTAGAAAAAAATAAAACTCTACTAATTTTCCTAAATTTTGTTGAAATTAATGAAAAAAATCATATAAAGTAAGAGACAAAGTGAATTTTTGTATGATTTTTATGCAAAAAAGTATGAAATTGTCACAATATTGAGGAAAAAAAAAAAGGAAAAATATCAAAACGCAACAGCAGATCCAAACAAATGCAAGGGAATAGGAAAAAAAATAGGAAAAGAAATCAGTATAGATAGACAAAAAGTGTGAGAAAAATATTATTTATAAATGAAAAGAAATCAAAACAGTTTGCTATGTTGTAGAAGAGCAACAACAATATATATTGTTATTTAGTGTATATAAAGATGTGCGTGTGTTATTGCATTCTCAATTGATACAACACTACACTGCATTATTATTACTGCTGCTGTTGTTGCTGCTGCTGCTGCTAATGCTGCTACAGCAAACTTTGTTTTCTTTTTATCTATCGTGTGGCTCTGTTTGTGTGAGTGTGGTGTTTGCGTACGTACATTGTTGTTGACTTTTTCTTCTTTACTGCATTTGTCATGTAATGGAAATGTATGCTTGCTCAGTTGTGTTTGCTTATATTCCTACAGTAAAGTTGGTTTCTTTCTTATAAAGCATACATATGCACTTACCTACGATACGTAAATATATTCCAATTATTTGCAATTGTAAATTAAGTGCAAATGCACACACGCTAATGTAGCTAGTGATTACAATATACAACAACAACAACAACAAATACACCAAACAAACCAACAAACAAAAACTAAAGGTAAGTCAGAATGGTTGTTCACATTTATTTGAGAATAATAATAGTAATAAAAAAAAAGAAAAACAATTTAAAATGCATTTATAGAGAGTTTTCATAACAGAATATAAATTTTCTTTTTTTGTTTTACTCATCTGAAGTTCTTTAATATTTAATCGGAAATTTAGTGTTTTGTTATTTTGTTACATAAATATAAAATTTTTGTTTTTTTTTGTTTTATTAACTTTGTTGTATTAACAAAAACTAAATGAATTATAGTTTACATTAAAATGAAAATAAAAAAAAGAAAACAAAATGAAATTAAGAGCAAGACAAAATACATAAGAAAAACAAAACGAATGCATTTGTTTTGCTTTTATTTTCGTTTGCTTTGTTTCCCAATACAATGTTGCCAGATCCCCGAATTAAAGAAAGAGAAAAAACAAATCTAGTTTCAACATTTAGAGAAATACGAAAATCGTAAGTAGATGCTAGCTGAAGCTTGCTTGAAGTAAGCAAGCGAGTTTTGAAAAATTACCTATAGCTAAAGGTAGAGAGAAGTGAATTATTTTTCGATAATACGAATATGTAGGTAGACTATGCACACTGCAGTTAGAAATTGGATGGTAAAACTTCGTTCTGGCGATAAGAATTTAAAAGACGGGACATCTTTCCGACTTTGACGGTAACATTTGAAATGTAATCGATAAAATGTGTAGCAAAATGGTTGAATATGCCACGATCAACTGTTAACCGCGATCTAGAGAAATTAGGAGAAGTCAGCAAGTTAGGAGTACGGGTACCTAACAATCTCAGTGACAAGAATCAAGGCGATCCCATGTCAATTGCTACAAGTCTGCTGTCTCGAGCCTTTTTAAACAGAATTATAACAGGCGATGAAAGGCAGGTTAAATAAGAAAAAGAACATGCGTAATAGCGGCGAATACGTAATAAATTGATATAATTTTGTATACTTATGACTAATATTAAATATTTGAATTTTTTGTCGTATGAAGGCTTGACTTACGTAGGAAGTCGTACAATTATCAATATGGATAGATTTTCATCACGAAATCTCAAAAATTTGGACGTTTGCGTCACATTAAAAGCGGAAATAGATGCAGGAGCTTCCAGTGTGGGTGAAATGATTCTTATTACAAAATCTTTTGCCACCTGAAGGCTTACTTTTTCTATCAAATTTTGTTAGAATATCTTGATAATTGCGACCTATAGATTGAACATGCAAATACGTGGATTCTGATAGTTTCAACGATGCATCTATCTTAAGCCAGTTCTAAGTGTTACATATCTTTGCAAAAAACTTGCGATATTCTCTACTGCAACATTGACGTAAGGTGTAAATAGAGAAGATAAGTCTCATCTTACTTTGATCTGAGAATTTATTTCTGTATGCGATAAATAAACTAAAACTAAAACAATAATAATAATAATAATGATAATAATTATACATAATTAACGGTCACTGTAAAGGCCATCCAGTTTATCTTTTTGACAATTTCGTTTTGAAGCAAAGCTGCGTTTATGTCGAGATAAGCGACAATCGATTGATTACAAACTCTATCACCAGACTTATATTCCAGCAATTTTATGTATATATATATGCTTATATGGACACAGGCATACATGAAATAATAATTAAGACAACAAAACTAGGTTTTTATTGATAATAATTATTGCACTTTTCAAGAGTAAATGATAGACCCCTCGGATTTAATACATATAACTGAATACAACTACACTAACATTCATTATATATATATATATAAATTTGAATATTAATATATTGTACATAGCATAGAATATTTATATGTTTAAACTGAAAAAAATAAAAATAAAAAATACATTGATGCATGGATGATGGTTTATCTGACTGTGAACCCTCTTGGCTTGTAACCTAGTTTTTTTGTTTTTTTTTTTTTAATGCACTTATTTTAATTTTTATACATTATATATTTTATATTCAACGGTATGCAAGATAATACAGATAGCTCTCGCAAAACCTTGTATAAAAATAAGAAATCCTTCAAACACGAGTTCTTTGCCTCCTTACACTGGCCTCTTTCGAAAGGGAAGAAGGAAAGGCGCAATAGGGATGTCAAGTCCATTCTTTTGACTTATAAGCTAAGGGTTCTCTAATCTTTGCTACCATCTTTTTCAGTCAAAAAGAATACTACAGCGTCCTGTTCATTGCGTGGGCGAACCGTACCACGTACCGCGACCTAGAAGATCTATTGTACACACCCATGCTCCTATCCAGCCAGTTCCGTCACCTTCGTCCAACGCATAGCGTCTGCAGATAGACGGCTTACTCATCCCTTGGCACAATCTGCATGAATCGGCCATCGTTTTTCAGATTATACCAGAGGGAATTATCATCCGTGGGCTTTAACGACCCGTCGCCTTGTCGTAAATATAAGAAAATGGAAAAATGGCATGAAGAAAACTGTATGCTTGACTGAGAAGAAATGATGTTATAAGTAAAATGGCTAGAATTGTTCGGTAGTTTTTTCTTTTCTTATACGCACCATCGGGTATTGGAGGTATATTCATTTTGTCAAAAAGTTTGCAATACCCAGAAGGAAGATTAGGAAGCGCTATAAGATAAATAGATAACGTTGTCGACCAGTGCTAAATTCTAAGTCGATCTAAGTATGTCTGTCTGTATGTCCGTTTGCGGAATATCTGTGCTAAACATTCTTCTGAACTCAAACAGCAAACTTAAAATTTGGCAGGCGCACGGGAAGTTCTCGCATGTGGCTTGGTATTCCAAGTGATTCAAATCGGTCACAGCATACGCCTACAGTGCAATGTAAGGTGAGAACATCTCTATTTACAAAAGCAAAAACCAAATGGGCGAATAAAATTTCCAAGAGCATTCCAAAGATGAATCCACAGCACGTATGCAACAATAGAACAAGTAAAGACACTATAGTTACACGCGCGGCTGACCTCAAATACCCTACACCACTTCTTTTAATATCTTCAAAACAAGACTTTAAAAGGAGAGTGGTGTTGTATACATGTGCACAAACTTAATACATCTTAGTACTACATAGGGTTTAATAGAATTCAGCCAATATTAAAGAGCATCGAATCTCCATTTTCGAATTTTTTTTTTTTAGTGTAAAGATGGCCGGCGAGCGGGATTCGGTCATAATCGCGCATGATAATCTTTTGCTCGCTTTTGATGTGTATTCTACCAAATTCTTTAGTAGAAGTGGTGCGTAATCAATAAGAAGTGAAGCGAATTTTTGACGATCTTGATACCATTCGCAAATTCTTATTTCCATGCGACCATATGTCCGACAATTGAAGATTCGTTGCTCAGTTGAAAGCCAAAATATATGATGACACTTTTAGGGAAATCGTCATCGAAGTTCGTGACGCATATAAACATGTGTTGTATTTCGAACTTGAAATGCGAAAAGTGTGCCATTCACTTAAAAGAAACTTTTGAGGTTAAGTATAGGGAAAAAGCGAAGGAAAGTGAGTGAAATTTATAGCGAACGCTATGATTTTTAAGACGCACCTTCTTGGCTATTGAATAGTTTTTCGATTTTTTTTTTACTTTTTGGGGAAACTATTTTCCCATTTTGCAAGCTAACCTAACACTTACATTAATGGCGTTTGATTTGCTTCTCTTTTTTTTTTGGGATATAAGACAGTCGCCTGTATATTGACATAAAGAGAGAATCATAAAAGTGTGAACATCTTAGTCAGATTGTGACGTAAAAGAACAAATAAAAACACCGCTCTATACTTACGCATGTAAAAGACTTTTTAAAATAAAAATCTTTTGAGAAATTGTCGAAAAAGTTGCCAGATCTGAACGATTTTCGTAAACCAAAACAACTCCATGCACCAAATTCCATTAAAATATTTTAAAAATTAGGATCCTTTCGTTGAATACAAGAAAACTACAGAGACAGACTAAGTTAGATTGATTCGGAAAATAATTCTTAATCGAGTGATGTAGTAAAATAAATGGATGCTGACAGACAGATGGACGGACAGACAAGCTTAGATATATATAGGAAATGATGCGCTTATCTCAAATCCTTCGGTGAGTTACAAACATATCCACAAAATTAAAATACCCTTGTATATTAACCTCTTTATAACAGTACCCTACAATGTTTTAAAGGCAACCGTAATCACCGCTAATATCTTTGACCGCAAGTTTTCAATTGCTCTTTCATATAAGTTACCTTGAGATGATGGATGTAAACGACTCGTCCCAATAGAATGAATATCGCAAACTTTTTTCTTTGTTTCTCTTAATTTTTTTTTAAATAAAATTTCAATGCAATTACAATGACATTACGTATGCGATAACGACATATTTCAAAGAGAATAATTATTTTTGCGGTCACTTTTTATGTACTTGTACAACACAATAGTGTTGCATTTAAAAAGTGTATTCAGACTTTCGTGACAGTCTGTAAATTCAAATAAGCCTTCGTGTGTACGTACGTGTTTACTCACACAATTCCAAACGAATTAAGTTGATAGACCCGTCTTCGTTACATAGGCTGATGTAAGCTTAAATTTTAAAACAAATGAGAAAAAGCGCAGTCGGCTTAAGACGAATCATAAGAGTTCAGTATTTTTGTTTTCTCTTTGAAAAGTGGAGCAATTTTCCCCATTAGCGATATATTTCGAAGAGCGGCAATGGAACAACCATGGTTGTCTTCGACTCGTTGCCATAATTACATCCCAAGCACAGATTTAGATTACGGCCTTGCTTCAATATTCCTAGCTTGGTAGGCCGCATTTTGATTACGACCGGGATATGGTCGTAGCTATAGGGCTATATCACCCTTTTCCATCCCCATTTCTCTTTCTCCATTCTATGGCTTAAAGATCGCACACGATTGTTGTTTCTCTCCACTTCTCCACACTCTTCTAAGTACTTAGAATCTGTTTCTCTTGTAGAATATACCGGCCAGAATCCAGACAAAGAGATGTCTGTTTTTAGCAGGGACCAGAATCGTTAACAATCT